TTTTATTGTGCTTCAAATTTAATGTTAGATTCTTTGTTATTTTTTTATTTATATTGATTCTTGATTTTGTACCAATATATATAGTATATACTTGATTTTACGTATTGAAGTTACGTTTTAAATTAATTTTACGGCACCAAGAAACAAACTAAGCCACCATTTACTCCAATAAAATCTTTTATTAATAGAACAGCAAATTAAAAACATTATTTTCATTTAATCTTGTTGAGTAGTTCATATACTACTTCGCCAAACGATCATAGTTTATTTATCTTTAATCTAGACGTAACGAATCAGTTTTATAGAAATTAATTTTAAATGTAATAATTTATTTAAATTTCTTTTTCTTTTTCTATACAGTGATTTGCAAAAGCGTATAAATGAATAATGGTTTGATATTTAATGTCACTTGAATTAAAATATGCATACAATATTGTTTAAAGAATATAATTTAAGTAAAAAAATTAAAAATTATAGAAAAATGGTATATTTTCAAAATATATTCTGCCCCATTATGAAAATAACTTCTATAATTATATTTTTCCTAAATATAGCTAGGACTCCTGTGTACAGCCTGAACTATACTCATGTCCAAAATTAAGGTCACAAACATGTTTTTCGTCATAATTTTAAAATACTTCCAGTAAAACTAATAAAATTTGTATTTTATATATTTTGAAGAATATCAACCTTCAATTTAGCAAAAAGTGTTCTTTATATATATATATATATATATATATATATATCGTTAGTTTTTGCAGCATTACTGGATTGAGATCGTTCATGTATAGGGGAATTTTGCCTTCAGTTTTGTGAATATTACATTTAAACAAACAAGTTAGTCTGTTTGCAGCGAGAATAATTTCTCACACTCGTTTAGCTGGTTCCTTGAGATGTAGAGCCATTGGCAGGCTTGAAACTGGCCAGTCTCAAGCGAAGGTGGCTTGATGGTTACAGTAAATGGTCTTCCGGTTATGGAATAAATTCCAAACAAGTAGTACTGACACCAGGCAGGTCAACCAAGATCGCCACAGAACATCGACAACTGCACAGGATTGCTACGACGACAAAGGTGGACAATGGTTCTTCAGCCTTGCTCGTGACCTTGTTGCTGTGTCTGGAAGAAGAATTTTCAGGCAAACATTCTACAACCCTCTTGCAGAGACTGGTCTTAATGTCCGGTGTCCAGTCTTGTGCATCCCTTTGGCTGCATCCAGCAGGAAGCACAGGTGGAGCTGAAAACATCAATTGTGAACACCACAAGAATGGGGGCATGTTTTTTTCAGTGAAGAGTCGAAACAAGACTAGACAAAGTAATTGTCGTCGAATCTTCATCGGGAGAGAAAATGGAGCTCGCTTTCATCCCTCCTGTGTAACAAAAGTCGACGGATTTTGTGGCAAAGGAATTATTGTGCATGGTGGAATGTTGTCGGGCAGTCGTACACCACTGTACGATTTCAATGCATGTACTGTCAACTAACAGTGCTATAGGGATCAGATCCTAGAAACCTGTGTGAGGTTTTACTGGGTTACTACATTTTTATGGACGGTAATGCGCGGCCACACAGAACTCACACCGTCGATGAATTTCATGACAGAGCGGATATTCGATATATGGATTGACCCTCGAGGTCTCCGGATCACAGTTCTATTGAATATGTTTGGGATGGTCTAGGAAAGGGCATTTTTTAGCGCAGTACCCCTCCAACGACCCGCACAGGAATTGAAAGTTCTTTTAGAAAAATGGGCTCTGTTACCACAAATACTTATTGACACCCTTATAAACAGTATGACAGCTCGTTGTGAGGCTTGCATAGCAGGTCACAGTAGTCACACTCTATATTAGGTAGACTTTTCCTGAGTTAAGTGCTTTATCTCTGATTCATGATTTCACTCCTTAGATACCTTAATTCACAATTAAAATCTTTTCTATATTGCAATGTTACGATATTCTTTCTGACATTGTAATACATCTCTGTGCCAAATTTCGGGGCAACACAGTAAACAGTTCTTCAGTTTTTACAAATTTTATGTTTGTGACCTTAATTTTGGACATGAGTGTATAAGATATGTAATACAGTAGTGGATTTATTCATATTTAAATAAATCAGAATGAAGAAATTTTAACAAAACCCCCAGTTATTATATCGATTGATCATAACTCTTAAAATAATCTGAATTTTTGGAAAATTCTAGTTTAGGCTCTGTAGAGAAATCCTAGCTACATCTACTCAATATTTTATTATCATAGAAGCACTTATCATAAAAGGAATATGTTTTGAAAGTATATCGTTTTCTCTTCCTTTTTTGCCACAAAAATTGCATTTTAATAATTTTTTCTAGTAATAATACTTTAAAAAAATGTTATAAGTATATTCGAATTCAAGTGATACTAAATATTACAAAGATTGTTCATTTATATGCTCTTTCAAAATTACGGTTCCAAACGTAGTCACTTTACATACACGATGTTGTTTTATCTGTAGATTTACCATGCACATTTTTTTAATACATATATCTCCCATATACGTATATTGCATTTTTAATTAAATAATGCATAAATTAATTTATAGAAGAACGTTTAATATGTAAAGATATAAATGAGAAATGCATATTCATCAAACAAGTAAAATGCCATGTAGGTTTTTCGGAGATGAATTTGTAAATAAAACAGATGAAACAGGAAATCTATGATTATCATAGAAAAGAGTGTGATTCAGATGATAAAAATATTTAAAGATTTAAGGTATCCGAACACGTTGAAAATGACCAAATTCGGACAAGACTGATATTTTTGTTTTCTATTTTATTTAATACAGCTATATTTTGGCTTTACAAAACATACTTTGTTTTGATTCTATGCTTCTTAGAGGCCAAGTTACAATCAATTTTATTAAGTTAGAAAAACCGGAAGTGGGTCTTTGATCTACCAGAAGTGAGCATTTAAATTGTTCGAAATCTATCATGGCGAGTCTGATCACACAAAATATTACAAATGTATTTCTATAAAACTTATTGCACCTGATATTTATGCTATTTTCTAGACAACGTACTAAAATATTTCTTATAGTATGAATATTATTTGAGTTAGGGCATGTTATTTAAATAATGGTCTCATAAAAGCGTTATTTTTCTTATAACGTTTGCTCAATCATCTCTAAAAGTTTCAAATTTTAATAAAACATTAAAATTTTAGTAAATTCTCTAGATAAATGCCTCTAGATTGTTTTTTTAATTCTTTTACTAATATAAGTTTATTACTTTTTTCTCTAATTGCTTTGAAGTTTTACAAAAATATTGCTAAAATTTCACATATAATTGTGATTTTTATGAAATTCCGGCAATTTATTTTAAATATTGTTGATTAAATATTAGTATTTATTGGTATTGAATCCTAAAAAAGCCTTTATATTTTTAAATATGTTATTTTGTCAAAAAGTACTCTGAACGTGTTTGGATACCTTAAGGTGATAACAGATCTCACAAAACACATAATTTTTCTTAGCAGGAAAAATCAATTACAGTAAATATAGCGTATCACGATTTACCTATTTCTTATGTCAAAGGTTTTCGAATTAACATACTATTTTCCTTTCTTGAACAGAATGTGAAGTTGCGATTTATATAAGAAGAAACATTTCTGAATCAGAATGAATTTTTTCTATGAAGTACCTTATAACAAAAAGCAGTAGTTGTAAGAATTATTATTAAAAGATGTAAATGTGTCAAATAATTTAAAAAATTCAAGGACTACGATTCTTTACTTACGAATTCGTGAATTCCAAGGTGCATCCGTGAGTATGAAAAGGTCACTAAGGTCGGATTTCGAGATGATAGCAGTTTTTTTCCATCGATATTTCATTTTGAATAAAAATATTGTTTCTAGAGTATGCTGAACGAACAAAAATATGTTAATACAAAATGCAAATATCTTTATAAAGCTTTCTTTGATTTCCAACGCTGAGAGAATTCTAATAACGCAAACGATTTCTACCTTTCCTTTCTTCTTAATCTACAAAGCGAAAATGTTTCGACATTAAGCCTAACTTAGAATGGAAGATTCAACTACGATCAATGCTAATACTTTGTTTTCAATATCGAACGAAAGCATTATTTTGACACTCTTTTTAAGTTCCCATAGTTACGTTTTCGTGCATTCATAAGAAGAATGAGAAACGAAAAGAAAAAATAAAGATGGGAAAAACCAAGAAATTTTGTAAGTGTAGATGAGTATTCATCGAACTTGATTTTTAAATTCTATTTTCTACCATTTTATTTCATTCTTTAAACAGAATATTCAGTTATGAAACAAAAAGAGCAATTAATCATTTTTTGCAGCCTTTCAGACACGATGTAGCTGTTTTCTTTTAAATGCATTAATTTCACGAAACAAGAGATTTCTCTTCAATTTTTACACGCTTACATTTATAAAAAATACAAACACGTGTCTGAAGTGGTGGGTTTCGACAGTTAAGACATCTTGTTTCTCACTTTGGTTTAATTAAGCTCACTTTGTCTGCAAATGGGGCATATTATTCAATTCGAGCCTCCACTTTAAATTTACGCAATGATTCTATTAACGTTAATTTTTGTTCGCATTATGAACTGCTCTAGACGTAGTCTGAAACAACAATTATACTAATTCTTCGTAATTTATTCTTAATGAATTAATTTATATTGGAATAAACGGACTGCGAAATTTAAAAAAAAAACCCACTTGTTCAAAATATAAAAATGCTCTTAATTTCAGTCTTTCATGCTTCTAAATTGTGTTTTATATGGTAATGAAGAAAATTTGAAAACTGTGATTAATTGTTGTTTATTATCCTGGGAACATATGAAATACAAGAGAAGAACAGAAAGCATACAATACAAACAGAAGAATACACACTTTTTACAGATGATGATAATCCCAGCGTATAACAAGAAGGGGTACGCTGCCTTCCTTTCGAGACGAGAATCCATTTCAGGCGAAAGACTGACTTCTTTCCCAAAGAAGATACAACCATGTATTACTCGGGATTCGAACCCAAACCCACTCGGTTACAAGCCGAGAGTCATGGCCACCATACTGGCTGCGTGACTTGTGATTAATTATATATACTATTTATCATATGGGACTCAAAATAAATGAGAATAAGACCAAGTACATGCCTTGCGCTAAATCATGTTTTAACAATTCCCATTTTAAAATTGAAGAGTATAATTTTGAAGTTGTTGACAGTTTTTCACTCATTCAGATTCGGAAATTAACAATAGAAACGATTGTACTTTTGATATAGAAAAGAGATGGCTAATATTTAGATAATGGCATTAATGGAATATAAAAATATATGAAATCGAATATAATCAAAAGAAAAACAAAGGTTCTATTGTATTAAAGTCTTTTAAGATCAGTATTAACTTACACAAGGGAAACTTGGTCCCTGTCTCGAACAGATGAGAACATGATAAGTATCTACGAAAGGAAGATTTTAAGACTTATTTTTGGAGGAATTCATGAAAATGGAACTTGGTGAAGATCAAATTTCTAGCTCTATCAATCATATGAAGAATCTGACATTGTAAACTTCATCAAAATACAATGAATTAAATGGGCAGGTCACGTTGTCAGAGTGAACGAAGACCGCACAACTAAAAAAGTTTTCAATGCTCAACCAATTGGCACACGAAGAAAGGGCAGGCAAAACATTAGAAGGATTGATAGCCTAGAAAAAGATCTCCTAGTTTTGAGAACTAAGAATTGAAGAACACTAGCAGGGTAAGAAGGGTGGCCTGGAAAAGGCTTCTTGAGAAGGCCAAGGCCCACCCTAGAATATCGAGCCACTGAGGAAGGAAGGACTTATCTGTATATAAGATAAAAAGATATTCTTTAATTTATTATCATATTTGGATAAGACATTATTATTTTAATAACTATGCTTTTAAGAAACCGGCGAGAAAAGCCAAAAAGGAAATCAATTTGATTCATGAATTTTTCTGAAATATAAATTTGCGTGTTTATTAATGAATCGTGTTACATACATAAATTTCAATGACAACTAAACTTTGTAAAGATTAGTTGTGTTATGGTATGAAATAATTTGAACTGTCATATCGAAGCACTTTTCTTTATATCACTGTAATTCACAGACATATTTTTCCATTATACTAACATAGTATACATTTTTACTATACGACAAGGGTGTTTCCATATTTTATAAATTGTTAAGATAGACATTTAAAACCAAATTACGTGTGTTAGTGTTTAAATACAAAAACAAGTATAATATATATATGAAAAAAATTAAGTCAATCGCTATTTAGGTCGACAAAAAAAGTTTATTTTAGGTACTTTTTATTATATAGCTACAATTAATATAAATATGTATATACGATGTCTATTGGCAGAATACTCAAGATAACCTATCTCACCCGAAATGGATTTATTACTGCTACTTGCGACGGAACTTGAAATTTTGTGCCACGTTCAAGTGACGAGGTTGACATCTGAGTTGGCAACCCCTTTCCCGAGCTTCCACACTACGCCAACAGAAGGATTTTGAACTTTCACAGATAAAACATGTAAAAGCCCCTCTATATGGTGAGTCTTCCGTGGCACTAAGCTTCCTTCTCATGACGTGTCGGTAACCAGAGGTAGGGCCGGACAAACCAGACCCCTGCCCGGGGCGCCCAAGTTCTAAGGGCAGCATTTAGATCTTATTTTTTTAAAAATTATATTCCCAGAAATATTATTAGGTGTGAACTCGATATTTCATTTAATGTATCACTTCTTATTTCGCACTCTGTATGCTTAATGTCAACTTTCTTTTATGTTGAAACTTAAATTAAAGTGTTTTAATTATAATTTTTTGCTTTGGAGAAAAGGGTGGCATTTTGCATTATATATATATATATATATATATATATATATATATATATATATATATATATATATATATATATTCTGTGCGTGTGTATGTGACTAAACTCCTCCTGAACGGGCGAACCGATTTTGATGAAATTTTTTGTGTCTGTTCCAGTGGATTCGAGAATGGTTTAGATTCACAATTCGGTCCGATACCGCAATTAGTTAAAAAGATATTAATTACACGTGCGTTGATCAACAATTATCCTAACCTACAAATCTATTTGTGTAGCTAATTGATTACACACATTATTAATTTTTTTTTTGTTTAAAATGATTTCTTATCGGAAATCTATACTAATAAGAGAAACAGTTTTCGTGTGTGTTTCACTTCTAAGCAATTCAAAAGTATAAAACTTGGCACATAATTACTATATTTCCTAATGATATGCACTACGAAGAGTTTTCTTTCGATATTCGCTTTAGATTTTTTTTAAGATTAAAATTGTTAAGTGATTTTCCCATTTTTTTTCAACAAACGGATTTTAATTTGTAATTCGGCAACAGTCATTTTCGTTTTGCTTACATTTTATTTGATTATTTCAAACCATTTCTGGATGTTTATTTGATTGTGTCGCTTCTTTTTCAGCTTAAAAAAATCAATGTACTTTCGTATAACGTTGCTTATATTTTATTTTATTATTTCAAACTATTACTGGATATTATCGATTGATCCAATTGTGATAACCGTATATGTAATGACGTTAGATATTGTAATAAATTTTTAATACAAATTTTCATCAAAACGGTTCAGATTGTTAAAGCTTATTCATAAAAATTTGGCATTTTTGAATTTAAGATGTGTGTACAGGAGAACGTCTGTCGGGTCCACTAGTATATATATATATATATATATATATATATATATATATATATATATATATATATATATATATATATATATATATATATATATATATATAATAATAATTATAATAATAATAATAATAATAATAATAATGCTCTCTAGCATCATTTTTTTATTAACTCTTTTTAATAATATTTAAACAAGCGTTAATTCTGTGGTTCGAAAATGACACTTTAATCCTAATCGTAATCAACTAGTGTCCGAAATCCCTGTCCCGCCCATTTCAAGCAATCAGAACTACTATTGCATAATAATCGCGCGGTTGTCACTGCCGGTATATAAAGCGAAAATCTTGTGTGATCGCTCTCTTTGTCTATGTGTTCGTCTTGTAAAATGTAGCTACTGCTTGTCTCTTTGTCTGTTTTGTTTTCGCCATGTAATCGTCTAAGTCTGTGCCTCCAGCTCGTCGACGTGAAAATGTACAAATAGCTGCAGCTCTTTTATACTTTGTGCTTTATCTCTGTGCGTGTTCGTCCCTGTTCTAATATGAAATACCACTGTGATTGCAAGCTTTTGATGTGTGTGTCAAAGTAAAAATGCTGAACGTCCATTCAGAAAATGTTTCCTGGAACCCTATTAACGCTCAAAAAATAATACAACACCGGTCACTACGCTACATATATATATATTGTTATCCTGCCTTTTTGTCTACAAGAACTATTCCAGTTTTACTGGTGTGTATCTCCATGGGAACAATTTATCTGTTTTAATTATTATTATTATCTTGCTTTGGAGAGAAGGGCGGAATTTTCCATTTTTGTCCGGGGCGGCAAAACTGCTAGAGCCGGCCTTGCGGTTACTAACATGACAACTGCAGGTAAAAAGCTGCACCAAAATTGTCTTGTGGAGTAACAAGTGACTGCTGTGAATAAATAATATTTAAATTAATATAAAAATTTTCGCGTCAAGTGACATGAAATTAATCATGTCAGATGCAAATTCTCGCTTTACCATAGAATAATGAGATTCACTGCTAATCACTCGCGAGAGTAACACATTTATCTAAGTTACTAACTTACAAATGTGATAAACATGAAACAGAGTAAGAAATACAGGCAATTCTATGAGTAAATATTGGATCAAGTTACTCCTGACCTTCGAAAATAAAGTCCTTTTTTCCCATACCACACAAGCAATTACTATTCTTTATCTAACAAATTAATCTAGTAATTATCGTTAGGCATGGTACCGATGGTTTCAAACTCTGGGAGTCATTTAGAAAACTAAAGGACAATTTCAAGGTTGAAAAGATATATATACATATATCCATAACAACTTCGTTTGACTCCCGGTGCATGCATAATCAACTCAATATCAACACGTTGCATCCACTTCCTCTTTAAAACATATAATGAGACTAAAGACAGTTAAGTGGTGTTAAACAGAGAAAGTGATCCAGGCCCGGGGTTCACAAGTCTTTTTATTTGCGACCTTTTTGAAGCAGACTTTTCGCTTCCTCTAAACTACACCGCAGACAAATAATCTACAATTTCAATCTAACTGCAATTAAATATCAAACTGAATGAAAGAATGCGAGTGTTAACAGAATGAATGCATTTGTTTCTTTCAGTGTTGTAATTCGAGTCGTATCATAAAATGTATCAGTCCCTCCTTAAATAGTATGGCGTTGTCACTGCTCTTCAGATCAGAACGCCGTTAATTATTTTTAGTGTTTTTGTTGGAAACAAACATAATCAAAGCTAACACTTGCCGTTAATTAAACAAACAAAAAATTCTTTGCTACCGCTAAACCAGCAAAAAAATGCAAAGTTTTAATTCGTCCCTATTTAACATGATTTCAGCTCTATAAAACATAATTGTTATAACGCTTAAAAATTTAGAATTCTAACTATTTTCATTCGACTTACGCAAACTTGGAATTATGCAATTTTCAAATCTCGTCGAATCGTCTTTCGTTTGAGCGCTACAAAGCTCGATAACTCACTACCCGCTTTCTGTTTAGCTAATGTCCATGTTCGGATGTATCACACAGAATCGATGCTTAGCCATAGAAATTTCAGGAGTATGTTTGTTGTGACATGTTATAACATTGTTATATCGTGCTTGTTATATGTATTGTACCAACTTCAAATTTAAAAGACGACTAAGTGAGAGAACCCCCTGGGCTTAGAAACGAAGTCCTTATACCCAGTTCAATCAGAAGATCGTATTACAGTGTGTATGGAATATGACAGAAGGCCTAAGTTTAATTAAAAAATAATTACAAATTTTAGGAAATATAGACCCTAACGAAAAGCGTATATATATATATATATATATATATATATATATATATATATATAT